CTCTAAGGGTGTTCATCAAACATGCAAGGAATATTGTTTATTTTCTAAAAATCAGTTTTCAAATAACTAATAAAACGATCCTGCAATATGCAGACTACAATCTATTCGTGTTCAAAAAAATAAGATCATAAACAAAAGTGACATTGATTCGTATCATAATTTACAATTAAGTAAACTACAAGTTGAAATAATATGGACTGCTTCTTATTCTACAAAAATTAGATGATATAAACTTTTTATACTTTTACAAACTGTTAATGAAATCAATAATATCATTCTCTAAATTCAAAATCGGGCAACGATTTGTTGTGAATCAAGTCTTATGGCTAATGTCTTTTACTCTATGTTCCTTAAGAGATTTAACTAGATTTGTTTATTGTCAGGTGTATCCTGGCAATCACTGCACGTGCGCTTGTAACAGAAAAATATTGCTTACATTTCCACCCTTAAAACTGTGGCACCCCTAAATTAAGAAATCAGCACAGTTTTGTACAAAAAAAAAAAATATATTCTGTTTCTAAAGCTTATCTTTAAGCATTGAACGTACGTTTTTGCAAATGAAATCCATTAGAACTGTATGAGTCTTACTACTTAGCTTATGTAAAACGCTTTGGCCTTAACATAGCAAACTTTAAAAAGCTTACTTTGTCCTTAGAATATCTGTTTTTCTACATTCTGTTTATTTCATACAAATTACAAAAATTCATTTATATGTGTTTGTATATTGGTATTTTTCTTACAAATGTATTTTTTAGTAGCTTTAACAACAGGTTTTGAATCTTGCTTTCTGAATAGTTGCTTTGAATTTTTTTAGTTCTTCGAAAATTGCACTATTCTCGTTCTAATCTATTGACCTAAGCTTTGTCTACTAGCTTTTTTTTTATAATCGTAGGTATTCTTACCATTTTGTCATTTTAAAGCCTTTTTTACAAGTTATTTTCGTAGCAATGAGTTTCTATAATCTTATTGACAGACCAGCTTATTGGCAAAAACAAACAATAATTCAGTCTTACGCGTGCTAAAAAACATTTAAGGTTAAATATTCAAATTATTTTGTTAAAACAGATAATTAAATTCTACATGTATCATTAGAAGTCACTAAAATGTCTTTTTTACATAGTATTCGTTTAATTTACGATTGTATTATTATCATCGCTTATTACTGTATCAGATTATACGCCAGATTTTCCGTATAAATTTTTAAGTTAAATTTTATGAGAAATCTAATGGCTGAGTCTTTTTCTCAATAAAAGTCAGGAACTGTAACATGGAATTTTTTAGGAAAAGTGTTTTTAGGTTATGTTACAGCATTTTCTACTTCCAAAAATGTTTTGACAGAAAAACTAAGAAAATAATTTGTACTTATATATTTTTTAACAGATTTTTTTAAACAATACTAACTTAAGCAATATTGGGCTTAATACATTAAATAAAAAAATCGGTTAAAGCAAATTCTAAAATTACAAGTCACTATCGTGGATCTAAGATCAAGCCTTAGTACCTCGTGAGAGTGGATACATATCTTATTTTCATAACATATTTACTTCTAAAAATGGAACTAAGCTCTCGAAACCGATGGTATGAATATGCCTAATAGTGTAAAGAATGACTAGTGCGTTAAAATTCAAGGGTAAAGGTTAGTAGTCTGTGATATGAACAGAAGGGATAGAAAAATTTGTAGGCAATCTAAAGTGATTGACATTTAAATTTTTAATAACAATTAAAAAGTGAGTCCAACAAATGACACTACACTAACAAAAAAAATTAGATAATGCATAACATTGTTAAATCAGATATTATAAAGCTGGTCCGAAAAAAAATGGGAAAAAATATGATTTTAGAATTTTTTTGCAAAGTAATCCAAAGAAAAAAAAAAAATTTCACACTTTCTGGAACTGTAAAAACTGTAGCTATTTGTTCCTTGCAATACAGTCAGTTTTCCAAAAATCACATTCCTATAAACGATATGATACAAGTTAAAATAAATAATAAAATTTACAGAAAAAGTATTTACCTAAAGGTCCAAGAGATGAAGTTTGACTTGAAAAAAAAGTAATAAGCCATATAAAAGTAAGTTAATAATTGTTATATAATTTGTTAGAAATTTGCCACCAATTAACAATATTAAAACAATGTGTTATATACTTGACTGCGTTATGCAGTCATTGAAGTCAACCAGGACTTCAGTAGTCTTTGCTAAATAAACAGTTGAATCAATTTAATATTGTAAAAACTCCAACACAAAAAAATTTTAGACGAGCCTCACCACATCCTTCCAAGAATCTCGAAACTTTACACTGTTTGTGTGATTCTTGAACTGCAAATCAGTTGCTAAGGGATACATGCGTGGTAACCATTATTCTATGTTACCTATATTGCAAACAAAAAAAGTCGAAAAATGAAGGACGTCAATGTAAAAGAACAACCCCAGGTGGTAACATCTCTGACAGACGAGATTAGAGACGTTGACCCTACGGCGACAGAGCAGGGGGTGCAGGCTGCACTAAAAAGCTGCTTTGAGGAAGACAGGGCTCCTGTTATGGCGATGGTGGTGTGGCTGTCGTCTGGCACTGTCAGAAGAAATCGGGTGGCCTACGTTAAGGCACCTATGACGGCGGCTACAACCCTAAATAAGATGGATCACATAAGGCTGAGCTGAGTGAACTGCAGGATGCGGTCCAAGCCCAAGGCTGAGCGCTGCTTCAAGTGACTGGAATTTGGTCACATTGCCAGGAAGTGTGGTGGGCCTGACAGGACCAGGGCGTGCTGAAGGTGTGGTGAAAGGGTTCACGTGGCATGTAACTGGTCCAAAAAAAAGTGAGCTGTTACCTGTGTGAATGCGTCGTCCCAAAACCGGACATCGGACACGTCACTAGGACTGCCGGGTGTCAAGTGCTGCAGGCGTTTGCAGAAGAAGCTCAGCAAAAATTGTAGTGATCCACAGGTAAACCTTAATAGGACCGTACTCGCGCACGATCTGCTGGACCACCTTGCACGTACCCAGGGTGTGGACTTGCTCTTGATAAATAATCCGTCCCGCACGTTACCGGGCTAGGGCTGGTACTGCGATAGAACGAAAAGCGCTGACATTCTGATCCGCAGCGACAGGCTCTCCGTATCCATAACCGGAGGCTGAGACGGTTTTATGTGGATCAGGTATGAGGGTGTGAACTATAAGAGTTGCTGTAATTCCCCTAACATTTTCATTGGCGTTTTTAGACGGCAGCTTGCCAAGCTCGAGGATGCTGTTCGTTGAGAAAATGGTAACATGGTCCGGGCCGCTGACTTCAACTCAAAGACCATCGCTTGGGGGAAGCTGAAAACCGACTTTAGGGGGCAGGTGGAGCCAGAGATGGCCGTAAGACTAGATCTCATCATCAGAAACTCTGGTAGTTCAGCAACGTTCAGGCAGCCGTGTAACAGGGGCACAATTATCGATCTTACGCTGGTATCGTCACAAATGGTGGCACAGGTGTCTGACTGGCAAGTCCTGGAGGACTACACTGCTAGTTATCACCCGTACATTAGCTTTGTATTGAACGAGAACTGTGGAGAAAGCTTGCAGAAAGTAATGCGAAGGTGAGTTACCAGGAGGAATGTGGCAAAACTTAATCGAGATTTTCTGCAGGAATCCATGGTAAGTGCGCTCCCTCCTGTTGATCTGAGCAAAATCACAAATGCAGCATAGGTCGAGGTACTCGTCAGTGGCACTATAAGACGGGTCAAAAAATAGTGCGATGCATGTATGCCCAAAAAGTGTGCCAGAAAGGGTCAACTTTCATGCTACTGGTGGACGAAAGAAATTGCAAACTTTCGTGGGGAGGCACAGCACTTACGACGTCTTGCACAGTGACACAGAACTTGTGAAGACGTCAAGGTAGCTGTTTCCGCGTACAAGAACGCAAAAAAGACCTTGGTGAGGGCAATCAAGAAGATCAAGAACCGATGCTGCCGCGAATTCATCGCTGAGGTGGACAAAGATACCTGGGGCATGGGCTATCGGATCGCGTTAAAAAGACTGCGCAGCTCCAACCCAACGCCGCCGATGGCACCTTCCTTCTTGAAGAGGGTGGTCTTCTGACTTTTTCTGGACCATTCCGATAAGAGGCGGGAGGACATAAGTACAGGTCAAGTGCCTCTCTTTACCCTTGATGAGTTAAGGTTAAATGCATTGAAGACGCCGTAGTAAAAAGCCCATGGCCCGGATGGGGTACCGTCCGAAGTCCTTAAAGTCATAGCTGTGAAGAAACCGAACGTTTTGCTTGACATGTTCAATGCATGCCTGCGTACTGAACTGTTCAGTAAGCGTTGAAAGATTTAAAGGCTTGTTCTTTCAGACAAGGGCAAACTACTGCCCCCAGTTCCATCGTCATTCCGACCCTTAGGTATGTTAGACAATTGTGGAAAAATGCTCGAGAGGCTGATAAGAACTTGCTCAAGAGGAGAAGTCAGCCTCTCATAAAATCAGTATGGATTTCAAAAAGGATGGTTATGGCTATAGCTGAGGTTTTTGAGTCTGTTAAGGAGGCTTGCAAACCATCTCATAAGACGAGGAGCATCTGTGTTTTGGCGACGCTCTACGTCAAAATAGCCTTAAACTCGGCAAAGTGGTATGACATAATGAGGACATTAAGGTGCCAGAATTTTCCGGTCTACCTGAGAAAGATCCTTGACATTTATCTCCAGGACCGAGTACTCTGGTACGATACAAAAGACGGACCAAGAGAGAGGTGTCTGACGTCGGGGGTCGCACAGGGATCTGCCCTTGGACCTGACCTCCGGAACCTAGTCTATAATAAACTTTTGTGCCTTAAAATGCTTCCAGAGTTCAAGCTGACGGGCTTTGCCAATGACATAGCACTGCACGTCATAGTAAGATCCTGAAAGGAGGCCAAGCGCAAAATACGGTGGGTGGTCGCGATAGCGTCGGAGTGGCTTTGGGATCACAGTTTCGAGCTGGTGATTGAAAAGACGAAGATGGTCGTTCTCACCAGGCAGAGATGGTTTGGGAGGGACTCCCGCCTAAACGTTGTGGGTAAAGTAATCTGCGCGAGTCCAGCAGTGCGCTACCTAGGAGTATAGATTGATTCACGGCTCACTTTCTGGGATCACATCAGGACAGCAGCTGACAAGGCCACTAGGGTGTCTGGAGCCCTCTTACAGTTAATGCCAAACGCTGGGGGCCCGTGGAAAGCCAAAAGACGGCTTCTTGCGTCGGTCTCTAACTGGATCCTGCTGTACAGTGCAGAGGTGTGGGTGGACGTGATAGCGAGAAGATACATCTGGGAGCGCCTCATTTCGATTCAGCGCATCGGATTGCTGAGGATCGTGGGCGCCTATCACACAGTATCTTCCACTGCCATTATGGTAATAGCACGAACGATTTCCATTGTGTTGCTTGCGTTGGAGCAGCGATGGAAGTTCCTGGGCTCTGGCGACGAAAGTAACAGTAACAGGTGGGAGAAAACGTTGACGACGTGGAAACAGGAGTGGGATTAGTCTAGTGCGGGTAGGTGGACGCATCAGATGATGCTGCACCTGCGCCCATGAGTGGAGAGAGGACACAGAGAGGTAAATTACTATATCATGCAGTTCCTCTCAGGGCATGGTCAGTTGAATGCTTATCTACATGGCATGGCAATGATAACATCATCCAGATGCATTTACTGCCTTGCGTTGGATGATCTCATCGAACATACTTTTTTCGTGTGTGAGAGATGGTACCGTGAGCGCTAGCAGTTAATGGACGGGCTTGGCATGGCACCCACTTTCAAAATCATTATTTCTGAGATGCTTTACACCAAAGAGGGATAAAGGGCAGTGGATAGCTTTGTTGCGTCTGTCATTCGGGGTAAGAAAGAATAGGAGAGAGCTGCCGCGCAGGGAGCAGGGATCTCTGAGTAGGCCTATAAAGGTAATCGATGCTAAAAGGTAAGAAATCAGCCTACAAAGAAGTTCTAGACGTAGGTGCCAGTCCTCAGGGACCCCGAGTCCTTTTCAGGCGTCGAGAGAATTTGCACCTCTAGCAACTAGTGGCGAGCTTGCTCGTTAATGCTGTGAGACGCGATGGTCTCCCTGGTGGCTTTATTTACCCTGAAGTAATGCTAACGCAGTTTTGGGGTGGAACTAAAGCCACGCAGCGTGGGGGGGGGGGTTTTAGTGGGTATGGGTTATCTGATAAGAAAAATCCGCCAAGTCTCACACTACCACTGACCCTTCAGTGTGCCTCAATGCATTATTACCCCTCCTTCCACAAGAAAAAAAAATTACTCCATGTTACTTATAGTGCAAAGAAAAGATTTTTATTCCTATAAATTATAAAAATTAGTTATTAAGAATTGAATTTATTTATTTTCTGTCAACTTATTTGCATAGCTTTGTTTTGAATCATATCAAGGCGTATTAATTTTTTTTTTTTTCGTTAATCGTATGCTCAGTTATTAAACGCTTTTAGTACACTTTATAAATGTTTTCGGCACAGCACGTTCATAATCAGCCGTACAGAAATAACTACAAATATTAAAAGATTTCGTGTTTTTATGTCGTTTTATTTTCAATTCAAAACGACATGGAATTACACAGTTTGTTCAAATATTGTGTTTGACATTCATTCGTGAATCATAACATTTTATTAAATGTTTAGCAGTTTTTTTTATTTGAGATTTAGTTATTCTAATTATAGTCAGAACAACTAGCTTATCACAATTTCTTTAGCCTAATTTTTTTTAGGCTAGAAATAGACGCTATGATTAAATTTTAGCACTCGATTGTTAAGTGTTACATTTTAATGAATATTTACTTTGTCGTGATAAATTTGTGATACAGTAAATCTAGAACTGTAAAATTACATGTGCTCATAAACGTCGCCCTTTGTATGGCTTTATTCTCACCTCTTTGCTTATTTTCGAAAATCATGTAATGTCATTACATAATAATATGATGTAAAATCATAATTTATTCTTTAGAACTAGAAAGTGTTTGACATTCAAGGTGTGCAGGTAAGGGTTTTAGTGTATGATAATTATAACAAGATTTTTTAACTTATAATGCTTAAAAGATGAATAGTCTTTTTCACAGAGATCGTCACTATCAGCACTCTAACTTTGCAAGGTCTTGTAGCTTGTTATTTAATCGAAAGATGGAAATAGCGTGAGTTCATATTATTTTTCATACCAGTATTATAATTTTTAATTAAAATTCTAGTTTTAAAAACCTGACAGTAATAAAGTAAGTTTTTTTCATACTAAACTTAAAACTAGTTTCTAAAAATAACATACACTAACATTGAAGTTTTATTAAAGGGAAACTTTGAAACCACAAATTTATGTTGTTAAGTAAAGAGAATCAACTAAAACATAGGTATAATAAACAACTAACAGCAGAGTATAGTGCTATTAGAGTTTCAAATTCTGGTTTACGGAATATTTTGATCTTTACGTATACTAAAATAAAACTTACCGAAAGATCATCCTACGCAAACGTATTCAGACAAACTATCTTATTTTGTAGATTCACTGGTTTGTCCATAATTAATTGCATAAGGAGACTCAAGATGAAGTTAAAATCATTCACAGAATTAAAAAGGTAGTCATAATAAATTAATAAACCTAACAATAATATCTAGACAGACTATCTTACGATCTTTCAAATAAACTTTCAGTTATATATTTTATGCCTAAAGATTAATTTAACAATTTTTTTATACATGCTAACTCTCTGATTGAAAATTGTCGTTTAAATTACTTGAGAAATAATTAGAAAAGAAGAACAAAGCGTTTTTAAAGCTTATTAGATGCAGTAACTATTAATGCTCTGAAACTTACAAAAATTTTTGAAAAAATAATAACTTTGTTATCATTATGTCATACAATCTACATAGATATATGCATCACTACAACGCACAACTGTAGCACGTTATCCTAACAGAGCCAATTATAACTATATAATTATTTAATGCTTCATTAAAATTTAGATTAAAAGATGTAACTTGCAAACACATTTTCAGTGAAGTATTACTTCACAACTTTTCTTTAGAATTTGGAAAATACAATCTACCACATGCATGTTTTCTTACAGTACTACATTCAAACAATAAAGTAAACGCCCCTGAGCTCATTGATAAAATATTACTAGGTGAAATATCTTTTAGCAATTATGATCTTGCCGGATAAGTCATCAAACATATACTGCATGGCTTCCATACTTGACAGAGTCTATGACAGCTACGTTAAGATAAACGTAATAATCAATGTGGGAAAAAATTTTCTAAGCCCTCCTCTGATATAACATAGTGAATCAAAGATATAGCCCCATAGTACATAACAAAAAATAGTTGTGACAATTATTTTTAGTCAACTAATCATTAAGATGAAAATTCAGATTATAATTTACACTGGTGGTATTATATAACAAATTTCTATCAAAAAAATGTTAATGTCTCATTCATATTTAGTACTGTGCAATCATACAGAGCATTGAATACACAAATGACAACATATATAAAGACCAATATAGAGCAGTTGTGAAGATTCACAAAATAAATAACTTTGAAGATAAAACTCTGGATAAAATGAAGAACTATGATAATGGTTGATACTAAGGTCTAATAAGAACACCATGGAGATTGCAAGAGTTTCCAATATGTGGGATAAATCACTCAGTAAATAACCCAGCTGCACATCTTAAGAAATAGCAATAATCAATATCCAAAGAGAAATAGAATTAACAATTTGGTAAGAAACAACAGGTACTTCTATAAGCTCAGTGTCTGTTAACTAAAACCAATGATTTTTCAAAATAAGTGAATTACTTAAATGTTCTAGAAAAGGAGATTTATAACAATGACTTTAACATTAAAGACATAAAAATAGTCGTAAAAAAAACAGTAATAGGTAAAAGAAGTGAAGTATCTCCCCACTATTATAAGCAATTTTTTTCAGTCATTATTAAATGAAAATAATAAATCTCCGTCTTCTAAAGGTTTTAAAATACATGACCACTTGAAATTGAAAGCAAAAACTATGTGAAGGTTATTTGATCATTTTAGTAAGCCCTCAATAATTCCAAAAAAGCCTCAGAAATAAGCAATAGGACCTAACAGGATTGGTGTTATACTAGTATTTATTTTAAAAACTGATTAAATGTTTCGGGTGAAGATTTTCACCTGCTGGCAACTATCTCTAAAAGCAGTAATCAAAGTATGGTGATATCTTATACTCTCCAATTACAATTCTAATGAAAATTTCTATGTCAAACTTAACCCTAAATATTTGTTTAACGGATGAAAATTTGTCAAATCTATTATGAAAGAATGGAAAAAGGATTATTAAAATATGTAAAATTTCCAGGAATTGAAAAATATTAAATCAATGTCATAAGTGTTTAAGTCATGAAGTTATACTGACTGCTTCTATCGAGAACACGCATTTTTTAAATCCTAATTAAATAATAAACATTAAAGCACCCAAACCCCGTCTAACATGACTACTAAAACAGTAGTTAATATTTTGAGATTTAATAAAATACCGGACAAATGGACTTTTCTGCATTTTCCATCATACCAAAGGTAAGGATAAAAAAAAACTACTTTACGTCACTGGTGCTCCGTGAAAATTACTGCCCACTACGCGTCTGGGATTTCTTACTTACTGAGCACCAGAAGACAGAAAATCGAATACGCACCACGTTTGAAGGTTAAGAAATGCCCTAGATTTCACATTAACCCGTTCGGCCTCGCTTCGGGCGTTTTTTTATGTAACATATGCGACATTCCTAACCGCACTCACTATATGTGTAATGAAAAATTCTTTTTGTAATATTTTATTTAGACTTCTTCTGACTATAAAATTTCTTATTGAATAATATATTAACTTTAAATTATATAATACCATAATAAATACTTAAAGATTTTAGCTTTACAATGTTGTAATATACTTAGTCTTTAATGACGATGAAATTTAAAAGTACAAACAAATTAATCAGTATCTAACTCCAGATATATGTTACTGTGTAGATCAACTTTACATTTTAATTATAACTTTAGACTAATTGGATGAGGACTTGAAATCATGTTCTTTCAATGAACTATTAGATTAATAAAAAAACTTACTCAAATTTTGTAAGTCACGTTCAATTACAGAACAAATTAAAAGGCTTTAATCACGTGTCAATCGATTTCTTTAGTACTTTCATAAATAAATAAGTAAATAAATAAAGCTTGGGTTAGTGACTTCTCAATTTCTCCCTATTTTATAACGAAGTTCATTTTTAGTTGCAATAAGTTAATTGATGCGTTCCAATTGTATATATTAGATCAAAAGTTTCTAAAATTTCTCAATAGTTATAGTATAAGAAAAAATGTGTATTTTTATTTCTTCTGGGTGGTGAGTCAAAACAAAATTAAAGTGTATTTATGCATGAGACGTTATGACCTACAATCGACTTAAAAAAATAGATTTAAAAATGCTTATGAAGGTTTCGCTAAGAAACAACAAATAAAT